TTTGACTCTAAAATCTTATATTTCTATGAATGCTATTGGGGTAGAGCAGATGTAGAGACACATTTTGAGCACCAGTCTAATGGAAGAAAACATCCAGTAAGGAATGACAGAGTGAGGCTTCTAAAGTTGCCTAATCTAGCTCAGTTGCATATTCCTTTACTAGACAACACTTCAAAAGGAAGTTCTGATGAGTCACAGGAAAGTTTTACTAGGATTTAGAATAAATGAGGTTAAACTAATGAGGATTAAAAAAGCTGCACAAATAAAAAGAGAAAGATCATACAAGCTCAAAGCACACAAAAGAAGTGATGCTTAAGAATACAGTCTTGTTCTAATATTTGAACACCTGGGGTTTTAAAAGCCTCTATTCCCCTAATATATTCCTGCTAGCTGCTACCTTTCTTTCTGCTGCTGTTGATTCCTAACACTAAACCTCAGAGCTTCTTGGTGAGCAGTAAGTTCAGCTTCTTTTTCTTGCTGTAACAGAGAAGGGAATAACAACAACAGTATCAGTAAGAATACTATGCTAGGGACTCAGAGGACAGGATTTTGCCCTTGTAAGAGCTGGCATATAGTTTCTCATTCAGAGGAAGGAAGGAATGGAAGGAAGGAATTCAGAGGAGAAATGAGTGGGCCCTGAGCAATTCTTCCCCGAGTCATAAAATGGACAGGAATGGACACCTTCCTGCAGTTTGGGTCCAGTGAACCCTCAGGATGTGCTAGCCTGTTATTTGCTTAATTTCCTAAAAAGCATTCTTGACTTACAAACTCTCGCTGTAGTCTGGTATGTGTGTGTCTGTAGTTTTGTATATGTACAGACACACTTTTGTGTACATATTGGAGTGTATACTTTGCCCCTCCCAGCATATAGTGAGGTAAACTGAAAGAACTACACTATTGCCTCAGCAATCTTGAAGCCCCAAAGCATTTATTGAAGGATGCGTGATAACTTTAAGAGATATGAAAAAATTCCTAATTGCTTATTATACACTGTTATAGACTAGGAGAAGTATCCAGTGGTTCATACCTCAGTCCACACAACTGCCTTGGGACTCTTGTTTCCACCCTCCTAAGCGCTCTTTCTCTCTCAACCACCACGCTTGACTGCCTTCCTTTCTCATCACCCACCCTGGGACTCTCTCTCTCTCTTCCTCCCTTCCTCCTGGTGATCCCTTTTCCTTTTCTCTTTTGCCCCTTTCCCTTTTATTTCCTCACTGATCTCCCACCGCCACCCTGAGGCTTCTTCAGCCCTTCTCTCTGTCTGCCTTCCTCTACTGCTTTTCATGCACCAGGACTCTCCCTCTTTCTCTCCCTCAGTTTTTTTCCAAATTTTGGGGGCATGCAGAGTGTAGCAGAAATCACACCATCACATGTAATTTCCTCTACCACGATTCTAACCTCTTTAGAAAGCTTGTTGAAAAATCAAGTTATGACTTCAGCTTCCTCTTTGCTCATTGAATACTGATCCCTAGCGATTGAAAATAATATTGCAGGCTGAAGCCACATTATAAAGCACTGAAATTAATTCATCTGTTCAAAAATTAACAGGGAGATACATATCCCTAGAGTCTCCCCCCCCCCCAGGTCTAGCTTTCATAGTCTTGGAACTACAGTAAAGACAAACATGGATACACATATTTTAAAAAAATATATTGCAATACAGATGTAACCACTGGGTTCTCTTCTGGGTCCATTGAGCTGTATCTGGGCTGCAACAGATCACCTTATAAGTGGGCACTCATGCCTGAATAGTGTTCTCTCCATTGTTATTTTTTCTAAACCTGCAAATGGAAAGCTAGCGTGTGATGGGGAAGTGTTTCTAACCTAGCACAGCAGGAAGAAAGCTAGGTTTCTATGAGAGCAGGGTTTCGTTGTTTTTTACATTTGCACAGAGGAATGTTGTAATTCTATTTGATGCACCATTTTCTCTTTTAGACAGGCAAAACACCAGCCAGATTCATACCTTAACAAAGACTGCAAATTAACTGAAGGGGTTCTTTGCACAGTATATGCTAAGTACAGACACTTATGGCTTCACCCAAGGGCAGGCTATACCCTGGTTCCCATTGTAGAGCTACGTAACAAAGCAGACATAACTAAGGCAGCCTAAGAGATGCTTTGTTTACTACTTTCTTGAAATAGAGAGGCAGCATTATTAGAGCTGACAACTCCCCACAACAACTTTAGGGCTGCAGTCAGATAGGATGTTAAGGTGGGAAGGTGGGAGCAAAAGTAGATGTGGTGATCTCAGGTATGTTGAGTAATGCTGTTTTCCTTCCACATCAAAATACTTTCTGGCAGCAAACACATAACATTTAATCATAGCATTAATTGATGTCAATGGTTTCCAAGGAGAAAAGGAAAGCTCCACTGGGCGTTATTGACAGACTGTTAGAAATCCAATGAAGTTGTTCATAATAGCATTAATCCTCCATACCCATTTCTGTTATCATTAAGAACACCAGCAAATTTGGGCTGATACATTCAATAACTTCTGCAAAGGAACCTTATTCTTTCTCTACAGCTCATTGCATAGACAATGCTGCTTTTGTGTTGAAAAGACATTACCATATTCCATAATGTTGACACTCGTTGCACTGTTAAATTACTATCGTCAGTGTTTTTCTGTTTTTCTTACTGGTTTTTTATCCTGTTTCTGTGGAATTCTGTGATTTTGCTGATGGCATTGTAATATACTGTATCTGACATGATGGGATTATGAATTCCTATAAACAGAACTATGTGATGTGGAAGGACTCTCAGTATTGACACTTAGGATGATTAAAAAAATATCACAAGTGAATTTTGGGCTTTTTTTCTGGTCCCAGTGTACTGAACCTTAAGGTATAGTGTAAACTTCTTGTTGTATTGATATTTTATAGCTGCCGTACTATCCCCCAACGTGGCCAACTTACTGACAGTAACTTTTTTTCCTGCTTTCCTGGACCATGGTTTGGCAAAATCCAGCATGGAACTTCTATTTTCTTAATGCAGTGGTTCCCAACCTTGGGTAACCCAGGTGTTATTGGACTGTAATTCCCAGAAGCCTTCTTTCTCGGAATTGCAATTCAAAAACGCCTGGGTTACCCAAGGTTGGGAACCACTGTCTTAATGTTATAATGGCTGAAATCCTGTTCACAGAGTTACATCATGCAAGGCTAATGACATTAACCATGGGCATTTACTGGAAACAAATGATTTCTGATTCCCTCCCCTTGGTACTGAGGATCCTTCTGTTGTGGATAAACCGTTGGGGGCTGCAGGATGTGTGGAGGAGTCTTTCATTTCCAAAACTCACTGCTGGTGGTAAAACCATCCTGCTGGCAGCAGTTTTTGGAAATTAAAGACTCCCTTCCCATCCCATCCCATCCCACAGTTTCCCTAAAATAAAAGGGTTCCTATGAGTGCCTCAGGACCTTTGAGGGAGATTTTTTTAAAATTTCAAAATAATTACTGCAGCTGATGACATCAGCCTTGCATAGCATTAATGTATAAAACAGTATTTCATTCATTGGCTGGTACTGTATTAGTATGGCAGTGACCAAAATCAACAGTGACTGAAACTCAGAAATCAATAGATTTGTTATGAAATTCACCTATAGATTTACATGGCAAATGGCTGAAATTTGGAGGAATTATTTACAGGTATTTATGCAACAACACTTCAGAATATCTACATTTTTAGGTCTTGTTGCATGACGGACTTAAGCATCTCACCTAGTGCATGACAGTCAAACAGCAAAGTGAATAAAAGAGGCCAGGAATATTGAGGGCCAAGGAGGAAAGCAAAATTGGCCCTAAATAGCAGCCAGGAGAAAGCATTGGTAGAATAAAATGAATGTTCACTGGGATGCTTTTGGTTGCATTGTGTTCTCGATGTCAGTACAGTTACTAAAATAAGAGAATATGTGGTACAGTCCTATAGAAAAAATAAGGTACTGTATTATGGAAACCTCATATCAATGCCAATTGAATGCTGCTCAGTTATCCTTCCAGCCTGCAAGACCGTGTTAGGTGCTGGATATATGTTTTCAGTCTTAACTTCCTGGTTTTAAATGCTGGAAATGAACATGCTTTTAAATAATAAAGAGAGAGAGAGATGTGAGCTAAAGCAGATTAGTTTTACACTGGCAAGATACCCCCTACTTTAGTAGCTTTTATAATTGGTGTGTATACCATGTTTCCATAGAAGCACAGAAGTACAGCAACAATACTAGGAAGAATTCACTAGGATACCTCAAAGATTTTTTAAAGAGCATGCGTCTAGGCCTGATGACAAAAAATATATACACTTGAAAAATTGTATCACTCTCGGAAGTAGGATTGGCTGTAGAAGACTTCCAATTGCCTGGGGTTAAAGGCTTTAAAAACCAATATAACCACACTGTTTGCCCCTAGCAAAATTTGGATTATTTAAAGTCAGGGTAAATCATGTAGAACAGTAAAAAAAAAAAAAGTACCATTATAACAATACCACAATGTATTACAAACAAAGACTGCAGAATCTGGCTTTTCTTGATATGTAACTGGCTTGCCTGGGCAGGGAACCATAGTGTTCTCATGTATGATTATATACCCTTTGGACAGGCATGTCCTTCAAGGCTGGTGCTTTTCTAGGTCAAATCAGACCCTCCAACGTCCTTGGAATAGGCAAATTATTCCTTGCAAAATTATAATACAGTTCATCTGCAAATTTCAGTCAAAGACATCCTTGCCTTGAAAACAAATGCTCCCCCTCCCAAACTGTCCATATAATGAGGCTCTTAGTAAATTGCATCTAGCCCTGACAGATTGGTCCATGCTTATTGAAGATCAGCTGCCTCCAGGATTTATGGGGCAAGTGGAAGGGAGGAGAACATCCTGGAGGCTCAGTGACATTGGCCCAACCTTGGCATGCTGAAGATAAAAGGAATAAGTGTGTTCCACTGCCATCCAGTTGCAACCTTACCCTGACTTTCCCCTCCCATATGCTTTTATGGCTAGAAGAAAACAACAGAGGGTGGAAGTAACATATTTAATTTCAATCACACACAAAAACACACACATGATATCAGGGTAGAAAAAGAAAGCAAAATCTGGAGCTCTACCTGAATAAGCGAGAGCTTCACACAAGAGGAATCCTTGTTAAAACCATCATCATTTTGGTCCTATAAAGAGCAGTTTAAGTTACATCAGAGGAACTACATTCCTCCTCTTCCCCACCCAGCAATTAAAGATGCTGCCTTAGAAGTGGGGAGAGCGCTATAGCTAATTTGGGAAAGAAGTGGGCTCATTGGGAGAAACCTGTCAGTTCAGATACCAAGGTCATCCTCTACCCTCTTCCATGCCTTTAGGTTTTCCCTTTCCCCTGAAGCCCACTCCACCCGACTAAAAATACTGTAGGATAAATAAGGGGCAAAGGACAGTTTAAGGCCTTCAGAGGACAGAAAAGGTGGGGATCAGGAGGAATGCTGGGAGCACGGCAGGTCCAGGTTCTCTCATCTCCTGCTGCTTCTATTGGTCATTGGGGTTTGGGTTGGCATCAGGATACTTGGTGAGGTCGAAGGTCAGGACTTTGCTGATTACACAATCTCCTTGCTGTGAAGGAAAAGATAAAGAGGAGTCAAAAGACAGCCATAAGCCCCTACTAGAACAGGCCATTTTCCAGCCCTGTTTTTTTTAAAATGTATTCTGCACTGGGAGGTCTGAACAATAAAGTGACCTCTTTCTGGCAATCATTTTTGCCTTGTAGGAGGAAAAGAACATTTCAAAGACAAGGATGGAGCAGTGGAGTTTTTTTTTTTTTTAGCAATGTGGGGGGGGGACACAGTTCTTATAGGGATTGTTTATATATATTTTTAAAAAGCAAACCTCCACCCTTCCTTTCTCCTTCACTTCTTAAAAATTTCCACACCAGCCTTTGTGAAAACAAATGCCAAGGCATTATTGTTCTCCCCATTTTTGTCCATGCCGCCTCCCTTCTCAGACAAATACACACAGCTCTGAAGCAATACAAAATACCACCTTGGCAATGCACAGAAGAGTCTTCTTTCGCTCACCAGGAAGCCACCGTGACCTGACTTGGAAGTCAGGTGCAAGGCTTCCTTTCAAAGCGGGGTTTCTGTCAGCCAACTAAAATCTCAGTAGCTGGTTTGCTTTGTCTCAGAAGCTGCCACCCTAAAATACAAACTCTTAAGATCTGTGGCCCTTTCACCTTGTTTCACGACAGGGCAGCTTTGGCTTGAAAGACCTTCAGATTATGCCATTGTAAGGGGCTTTAAAAAGGCTTTGGATAAGAGGGTGAGGGGCATGAATACAACAGCCCTTAATACTGATGAGAGGTACAGTATTTGGGCACCAACAGTAGCAGGCTGTCTGAAACATTAGTTCCTTACCTCAGGGTAGACACCAATGAGGCTCTCAGCCTTGGTGTAGAACTCCTCCTTCAAGGAAATAACAATGGCCTGGAAGTTGCACGTGGACTGCTCCTTGATGTAGTTAGCAACCTGTATGGAAGACAGGAAGAGGAGAGGGGTGAACAAGAAAACTATCTTCTCCAGCCTTTGTCTACTTATCTGCAAACGGAGGCAATAATGTCTAGCTGTGTGGCCGATGTTATTCCCTACCTTTCCAATGTTGGTGTTATCCAAAGCGGCATCGATTTCATCCAAGACAAAAAACGGGAGTTGTTTGTAGCTGGGAAAAGAGAAAGGAGGAATAGCCGTATGAATAACTGAAGCTGCCATTACAGAGAAACAGGCCAGTGGTTCACTTCTCTCTGACTGCCAACAGCTCTCTTAAGAACAGAGGCTGCCCAGTATCCTTGAAGCACTGGCCAGTGCCCTCCTGCTTCAAATGTCGAGACTGAACCTGGTAAAGGATCCCAATAAAGTGTGCTCTTTCCCATCCAGGGACTCCTAAGCCATTGCTAAAGTTACAAGCTCCCAAACATATATAACACATATTTGTATGTGTCTGAAAGTCATATACAATGTGTGTGTGTGTATAACTCTTACTCTCTTACTCTTTCTCTCTCTCTCACTCTCACTCACTCTCTCTCTCACACACACACACACACGACTTTGCCACATATATAACATACAGTGGTGCCTTGTTTAGTGACGTTAATCAGTGCAGGAAAAAAACATCGCTAAACGATTTAATCGCTAAGTGATTTTAAAAAGCCCATAGGAACACACTAAAATGTGTTTAATGTGTTCCTATGGGCTAAAATCTTACCTGTAAGCGAAAATCCTCCATAGCGGTGGCCATTTTGGGTGCCTCTAAAGCGAGGCAAAACAGCGGCGGCCATTTTGTTTTTCTGGTGGCCATTTTGGAACCGCCGATCAGCTGTTAAAAATGGGTGCTTTGCCATGATCGCGTCCCCGCGATCATCGCAAAGCGATTTTTACCCATAGGGGCCATCGCTAAGCGATCGCTCTGGCGATAGCAAAAAGTCCATCGCTAAATGATTTTGTCACTGCACAGAGCAATCGCTAAGCGAGGCACCACTGTATTTGCATGGGTGTCATTTCTGAAACACATAGAACATCCACATAAACTCCCTTGTTTAATGGATAGAGGAACAATATGTCTGTACCCTCCTGTACACCTCTGTTCTGTTCCCTTCCCCGTTAAAACAATTAATTCTTCCATTTGCTTTAGAGAGTCCATGAAAGATAAGCCAATTCCACCACTACGCATCCTTGCCACCAGGCAGGCCATGAACAGCTTCAGTTCAAGGCTGACCTTACCTGTGGATAGCAAAGAGTAGGGCTAAGGCTGCCACTGTCTTCTCCCCACCAGACAGGTTGTCCATGGGCCGGAAGCGCTTGCCAGGGGCCACACAGTTGTAGTTGATGCCATCCAGGTAAGGCTCCTCAGGGTTCTCAGGGCCTAGGAAGGCCTGAAGAGGAAGGAGATGAAGAGATAAAGGGGCATTACAAAAGGACACCATCGGAAACTAGTCAATGCAATAAGCTTGGGGCATGTCTTTCACACAAACTGAATCATGGCCTAGTCAATGTAATAAGCTTTTGTGAGGGAAGATGGAAGAGTGAATGCATTAAACCCTGCTGGCTTAAGGATACAGTGGAGGGTAGGTAAGGTGGATGGTGGGGAAGGTTGCCTCAGAATTTTCTGTTTCCAATGGCTTACATTGACTTGTGCTAATTCTTCTCATATGCTAAAATAGCCGAGAATTACGGCATTCATTCTTGAGAGGACAATGGAAGATGCCCCATGGGGTCCCCTAGAACTCAACACTGCTGAATTCTGGCAGTAAATTGGGAAAACACAATTAGGAAAATTCTTGATTTAATGGCCTTTTCATTTGGAGCTTTATTTGCCGCTGAATTGCAGCAGCACATTAGTGGTTTGTGTGGAGGCCTGCAGAGTGACCTGAGGGTGCAAAAGAGGACACCCCCCCAACCACTGATGATTGCCAACTGGCGAATGAAAAGACACAGAGGAGCTGGGACAGATAATCTTTCTGGAAAACAAGGACTGGGGGGGGCTCTACTACTAAGTGTGGGTGTTACTGCAGACCATTAGACTGGGGCGATGGGCAGAGTTCTTACCCTTAAAATCTACCCTTAAGGGTTTTTTATAATGCAGTACAAAACTGCTAGCACTCATGGCTCAGAAGATGGGCCAGACGTGTATGAGCAATGCTTCAAGCAGTTATAGAAAGCAGGGGAATAGTATAATAATAATTAATAATAATAGTAATAGTAATAGTAATAATAGTAATAGTAATAGTAATAGTAATAGTAATAGTAATGGGACTTCAGTGCCTGGCACAGCTGCTCTTGTAGTCAGAAAACTGTATTAAATAGTACAAGAGAGAAAACATTAGTGGGGAAACGTAACAGAAAGCAAGATATCATGCAAACCTGTACTATTACCATAATTTATGCAAATAGAAGAATCAAGTTTTCCTTGAGTCAAGAATTTAGATAGCTTCCACATAGGTTATTTGTTCTCTTTCATCCGTTACAAGCATGGGCTGTGTACAGCCTTGCCTGTAACCCTCTTGCATGTCCACAGTAGGCTGGGTATCCTCACCTGGGCGCTGCTATTTCGTGAGAGGGCTTTGTAGATCTCATCAATGTTGGTAGCCACCGACTCAAAGCAGGAGTTGAAGCGGTCGAAGCGCTCTTTTTTGATCTGCTCAAAAGCTTGCTTCGCTTTCTTGGCACGCTTCCGGGCAGCTTCAAATTCTGCCAGAACATAGGAACGACAGGATCACCATGAATGCTCCCTAGTCTCCAGAAGAAAAGCCCAGTACAAATTCCCAACCTTCTATCTTGGGGCTGGGAATGCCTGGCCCTCCAGATGTTGTTAGGCTGCAACTACCATTGACTACACTGACTAGAGCTGATAGGAACTGCAGTCCAGGTGCATTTGAAAGCCACACTTCCCCACCACGACTCTACTTAACTATGAGGTCACAAGGATAATTCAATACCATCGGATGTCTCCTGAAACTTATCACGGACGCTCTCCAGCTTCTCCATGGCTTTCATGTTTGGGGCAGCTATTCGCTGTAAGATACTCTGCTGTTCATTCAACTTCTGTTGCAACTGATTCATTTCCTGCTTGATCTCATCTTCAGCCTGGACATCCTACAAGAAAGACGGTAAGTGGTGCCAAAAGGCAGAGAACCAAGAAGTTCCACCAATCCAGAAACTGAAAAGCAACATTGAAAGAAGCTGTTCCAGCCATCCCACCTCACCGTGGTGCAGTTGCTAGACGCATCTTTGACTTTCTCGTGAGTAGCTGCCATGACTTAATCTAGGCAGAGTTTTGAGGCAAACAAGAATCCCTAGATATTTCAGGTTTGGAAGCTGGGAGGTGAGAAGCACATTCGGCAAAACCCCATAGCTGTCATGGGGGCAGAGTCCAATCTGTTTCCATGTCACCCCCTCTCCACCACCACTAATCCAGCCTGTACCACAAACAAAACAGTACTATGCAGTGTGAGATGGAGGGGAGTGATCCTTGACTGGTCAGGTCAGAAGGCACAACCAACCTCAAATTCTAATTTAAATATTTCACCAGGACTTTTTAAAAAGTGTGGGCCAGAGGGACAAGCTCAGAACAGTCAAATAAAAGCAAACATTTTCTCCTCTTTATATGCCTGCATTAAAGAGTCTCTAGAGAGAAGTTCAAAATTTACATGTAAAGGCACAGGGATTATTCAGCACACACTGAAGAGAATGACAAAGAACACTGGGAAACCATAGCTATTTTATTTGTGTAGAATTGGGGATGGGGGATTAGCAGGTGGAGGGGACTGACAGGTGTAGAAATCTCAAGTGGAGCCTGCTCTTGTGAGACTGGAGTGTGTGCATTATGTTTGACACATGACTTGACTTCACACAGATGGGAAGCCTACACTTTGCAGATGTTTGCCCACAATAAATTAGGGGGGGACAAGGAGGCATGAATCAGAGAGATTTCCTCCTTGTTCTTGACAGAAAGATTAACTCAGGAGGATAACATAGTTCTGTGCTTTTGGAGGTGGTACTTGCAAACCAGACATGAGGGAAATCTGAGCCATTGAGACCTCAGAGAGATGCATGACAAACTCTTTAAAAAACTGTAAAGCTCTAATTTATGGGGGGCAACTTGTGGGCCTCCTGTTGTTGTCAATACTATAGCTCCCATAAGCTCAAGGAAACCTCATCCATGGTGAGGGATGATGGTTATTGCAGTCCAGCAACAGCAGAAGGCCCCTTACATTGTCTAGGTAAAGGTTCCCCTTGACAATTTTTGTCCAGTCGTGTTCGACTCTAGGGAGTGGAGCTCATCCCCATTTCCAAGCCATAGAGCCAGCGTTTTGTCCGAAGACAATCTTCCGTGGTCACATGGCCAGTGCGACTTAGACACGGAACGCTGTTACCTTCCCACCGAGGTGGTCCCTATTTATCTACTTGCATTGGCATGCTTTCGAACTGCTAGGTTGGCGGGAGCTGGGACAAGCGACAGGCGCTCACTCTGTCACGTGGATTCGGTCTTACGACTGCTGGTTTTCTGACTCTGCAGCACACAGGCTCCTGCGGTTTAGCCCACAGCGCCACCACGTCCCATTGTCTACCTTGTATTTATATCAAGAAAGACAAATTGAGTCACTGGTTACCAAATCCAGGCCCAAGATGATTCAATACAGCATCTGCCCTTCTGATCGGATTTCAGTCAAGGGATGGTTATACATTTTCACAATGTTTACACTCATTAAAAAAGAAGAAATGTTTTCACATTTTAAGAGGAAGAGGTGTTCCATTCTTAGAATATTGTTTTTTTCCATATTGCATTTAATATGTAAGGTGTTCATGTTTGTAATCCCTTCATAATGTGGTTCTGTGTTTGCATGTAAAGTGACTGAACACAAATTCTCTCCCATGAGGAGGAACTGTTACTTTTAGATGGCATGGAGGTCTAACTCCAAAATGTTACCTCAGGAGCAGAGCAGATGCAACAATTGTCTAACTTAGGGCTGCAGAACCTGTGGAAGAACTACCATTCCATCAGATTTCTGTATCAGCCAATTAACTGGGGCTGATGGGAACGGGAGCCTAGAAATATTAAGATGGCCACAAGTTCTTCCTCCTGACCACTGTGGGCTGAGACCAGGCAACATCCCCTTGATAGCAAGGATGTCACTGTAGAAGCCAGGAAAGCTTCCTTTAATTATGATTTTTAGGGCTGTGTTCTTTTGTATTTATCCTCATCCCTGCCTTCTCTGGCCAGTTTTTGCCTTCAAAAACAGAAAAGCAGCTGTGCAGCTATCTATCTGGGAGTTGTAGGTAGACAAGACCTATGGCTCCCAGGTAGTACCACAGCAGTTTCCCTGGTTTTGGAAGTTGGAACTGCTGAGGGCAGCCAGTAATGGAGTTAAACTACCAGAAAAGTAGTATGTAGACTTAATTTTCTGGGCTGCATCTCTCAGAATTCTGCCTGGGGAATTCCTAGAAAATTCTGAGGATTTCTGTCCAAAAATACCAAATAACACACATGTAATGATTTCGTTTTCAGGCAATCAATACATGCCAGTAGCACAAAGCCTTACATGGGCTGGGGAGCAGATATCACTGTACAAACTTGCTTGTTTGCACAGACTGCCTTTGGATCTGTTTTGGATTCATTCCCTCACCACCAAAAGCATGGTGAGTGACCTGCGCAACGGGGCCTTCTAAATATTGGCATCTACAATTTGGAATTCCTTCCTGAGGGAGTAACAGATGACAGAACTGCCTGCTTTTTTCTTATTTATATAAATAAAACTTAATGTATTTAAACATGTTACTCATTAGTAACTACTGCACTTAGGCAAAGGGGTGAACAAAGATTGAGAGAGAAGTTAAGCTCTCTTGATCCCTAGTTTAATATTGTACTGCCACTCGTTCCGCACTATCCTCGTGTTGTTACGTGTTGTAGTTTTAAATGTACATTTTATCTCGATGTAAACCACCTTGCAGGTTGCTGAACTGAAGAGATGCTGTAAAGATAGCAAGGAACTGGGCAGAATGAATTAACAGCATTGCATCACTCAGTTCCATGAGTTTCTTCCTTGGCTGCAAAAAAAAAGCCTAGCACGAGCCTGAAACCACCACCAAACCTCAGCTGGGCCTTGCAGAGGCGGCCACATTACCTTCAGGTCCTCAGAGAGGTCGCCATAGTCAATCTCAATGAGAGCTTCTCGGGCATACATGTTAGAAGTCCTCTGTGAGCTGCTGGCTGTCTCCTCACCTTGGGAGCCACCCTGCATCCAAACAAACAAAGAAAATAGATTGAGGGGAGAGAGAGGGAGAGAATGCTATTTTACTCACCCGTCTGCTTTTTCAATCCCCTGATCTGCTGGTTGGGAAAAGATGTCCTTACCTCCTCCTGGCTGATATCATCCATAGTGCCTTTGGAGAGGGGCAGCTTGATGTCCTGCATCTTGCAGGCTTGCAGCAAGTTGTGGCGGTCACTGCGCTTCTGCTCCAGCTTTGTTTCAATGGCGGTCACCTCCTTCTGCAAGTGCGTCATTTCCCTGCCGGGAGAGGCCCAAGAAGCATGGAGTAAGTGCTTGACGTGAGCAAAGGGGGCTGCAATTTGGCGAAGGCTGCCTGAAGACACCCTTCTGCCACCTCCCATTTGGTTTGGCGGTTCCACAACACAGAAAGAGCAAGCGCTATCTCTGACTCACCTGTTATGCCACACACAAGTCATTAAATTCCCTTGGATTGGTAGAGAAAAACTAACAACAATGTGAAATAAGGGCATTGGAGACTTTTCACCGGGGAAGGGGAATAGCCATGGGCTGCTTGTGGTAGAAGGCAATTAAAAGAAACAGTATGGAAATAGTGAAAAGCAAAAAGCCTCTCTCTACCTCCTGGACCTCTAGAAATTGAGGACCACAGGAGTAGTGGCAGGAGTACCTGGCAGAAAAAAAAAAACCATACACACACACCACTTCTTGTTGGCACCATGTACTTAAAAATGAATAGTGTTCCTTTCTACAAAAGATCACTTGAAGTTGCCTCTAGCTTCAAGGACTTAAAAGGGATCCAAAACTCTAGTTGTTACTGGCAACTGCTGCTCTGCCTCTGGCAATTGTATCTACCTCGCATGCCTCACTAAAGACCACCTGTACTCCCCACACGCTAAATTTCCCCCCAAAGGAGGACCAGGAATGCTGGGGTGTTTTTGTTTTTTTACTTGCAGGTTTTCCCCCCAGTCTTAATGGATGTTTAATCGCTTTTCAAGTGAGATATTTATATAGTGTTTTAAAATGTTCTTATTTTATCTGTTGTAAGCCGCCTTGGGTCCCTTATGGAGGACAAAGGCAGCATGTAAATAATTTAAATGAATAAATAAACTACAGGAATCTAGGAGGCCCTTGGGAAGAAAGTATCAGTGACAAGGAGAGAGACTGCTCTCTTGTGAACCAAGTCAAAACGGGTTGGCTTCTGAGACAAAGGCTGGTACTGACCTATCCCTGTCAGACGACGACAGTTCAAAAGAACCTCCGCGTCCACAGGATGTGGAACTACCAAGTACCAGAGGCCAGAGACAGAAGGAAATATGTTGCTAAGTTGCAAGAGCCATCTGGTTTCGTCCAGCACGTGATCTGCTTGAGCCACCTACACTTTCTTTAGTGTCCCCCCACCAGCCTTCCCAACGTTAGGGGCAGAGACGAGAAAAATCCAAGCTCAAACAAAAGGGCAGGCTGGAGCTAGAGCAATGGAGAGTTCCAGAAGCTGCCTGCTTTTCTTAGGTCCTGGCCAAGGAAAACTCACTTGTTGGCCCCTCCTAGCTTCTTGCGGATCTCCTCCATCTCGTGGTTCTTGTCATTCACCTCAGATTTCTTGGCCAGGTGCTGGTTCTTCAGGTCCTGCAACTGGGCCATGGTCTCATCGATTATCTTCATGTGCCGCTGTTCCTCCTAAGTGTGTTTGGGGGGGGGAAGGGGGAAGACCCAGTTAGACCTACCATAGAACAGGGTGGAGAAAAATCATTGATTTTTTTTAAAAAAATCAAATCGTTTGAAATAACAATTTAAACCAATTTAATTTTTTTTAAAAAAAGCTTCAAAAAACTGTTAAATTTAAATCACGATTTAACTCAATTTGATTTAAATCGAATCTACTTTCTCTTTCTCCTTCCTGGATATGGGAAAAGTTACTGTTTTGGAACACAGATCCTGGAATCCTACTGCCTGGGACACCACATGCTATGTTGGCTATGGAAAGCTGTAGTTCCAGTTCATACCTCTGCTGCGTCCCCATCCCTAAAGCACAGATGGCTCCTGATCCAGCCCCAGCTCTATCCAGCCTTGGCCTCTCACACACCTTCTTGAGTTTCTCTATCTCGGCCTCATCCTTCTTGACCGTCTGCTCCCACATATGCACTTTGTCCTGATCCTCCTTTAGCTGGTTCTTCTCATAGTCCAGCTGGATGCCCAGGCGGGTCTTCTGGTTCTCAAACTCCAGCCTATGGAAAGATGCAGGGGGAGAACACTGAGTCCTACAGCCATATCTCCTCTCGGTCCCACATTTTGGGTGGATGTAACTTCAGGATTTTTGAGAATGGAAACCCAAAAGGCTAGTAGGGAAGAGAAATGGAGCCTGTACCTTTTCTTGGCAATCTCATTCTGGCGCTTCACCTTCTCCTCCTCAAACTCCCTGATGTTCCTCACCCCAATTTCTCGACAGAACTCCTCAAATACTTCATCTTCCACCTACAGACGTAGAAAGAGTCTACACTGAAGCAGAAATGTACACTATGGGACGGGAGGAAATAGGGCAGAGCAAATGTTTGTGGTGTGTTTTTTTTAATATCAACTTTCCACCTTAAAGGAACCTTTTCCATATTGGTTTGTCTGCAATACACTCTCTTATGCACTGACAGTGATCTGGGGGCCTGTCTGGGAAATTTTACACAGCAAATTTATTCAGTCATGTCCAAGACCAGGCATGAGTGTTTGTCCGTCCAGACCAGCACTCTCTACTATGACTGCTGCTATATTGCAGGATTTCAGAGATTCCCCATCCCTGTTACCAGGTTTTCTGCACTGGAGACACCAAGGACCTCCTGCATGCGATGCACATACTGTGTCGCAGGGCTACCGCCCCTCCCTATGCTACTCAAGAGTGTACCCTGGCATGAGATGCAGGGAGAGATTTGCAATATCAAACTCACTTCCAAGGCTGCTCAGCATCCATTATGGACCTGATTAAAGAAACACAGGTAAACTTCTGAAAAATCTCAGAGCTTCTACTAATGTAGTTATTATTAAGCATATTAATATCCCACCTACACTTCCTGGAGTGCAAGTTGAAAACAATGGATTCCTGCCTCTTTTACCAATTCCTGCCACTGTGGGAGCCTTGCCAGAACACCAGCTTCCTGCATGGCCTTTTGCCCTCCCAGTGTCTTCTGCTCCCTCCACTCCTCCTTTAGGCCACAGTTATTCAGCTGCCCTCGGCCAGGACCCACACCACACCTGGTTCATCTTCTCCTTGAGCTCCTTCATCTCCCGCTCTCTCCCCTGGATGATGCGCTTGATGTCATTGATGCGGGGTCCAAAGTTGGCAAGTTCGCTTTCCAGCTTGGACTTTTCCTGTTGGGAAGACAGGGACTGAGCTCAGGCAAATGGAGAAGTCAACACAAGAGATGTTCTTTTCTCTCCTCTAAATGGGAAAGCTAACTGAACTTCATTCTCTTCGGAAAATGGAAGTGCTGGAACTTCAGGTTTACAACTGGACTAGGTTAGGCACAACATGCAGTTAATAGAAGGAAAGGCAGGCCACAATAATCTTGTTGAGCTTCTGTCATTGTTGTGGTTATACTTATGGTTATGTGTTATGTGCACTCAAGTCAGAACCTAATTACAGAGTTTTCAAGGCAACTGAGATTTTTAAGGAGCGGTTTTGCCAGTTCTTTTCCCTCCCAATGACTTTCCATGGCCAAACAGTGATTCAAACCAAGGTCTCCTAAGTCCCAGTCTGTTACTCTATTCATCACATCACATTGGTTACCTATACTTAGTACTACTATTAATACTGATTATTAGATACATGCATAGCTCACATTTCCTCCAGTGTGCTCAGAACAGCCTACATGGCTGTCTTCTCCCCACCAACCCCCATTCTTACAATCCTGTGAGACAGGTCAGACTGAGAGTGACTGGCTCAAGATGACCTAGTGAGTTCTGTGGCTCTGTGAGTCTGTCACTCTCACTCTGACCTAACTCACAGGGTTTTAAGAATGGTGTTGGTGGGATCTCCCAAGTCCTAGCAAAAATCTCTAACCACACCAAGCCTTCACACTCTCCAACAGTAAAATGTTAGCTTGATTTACAGCCAGATGTTAGTGTGTAGACTGGCTAGTCTAAGGGTGCAAATGTTTCAGCAAAGATGGTGGAAAATTACTACTTGGATTTAAATGACATCAGGTGATGCTCTCTTACCAACCTCTCCTGCACTGGCACCAGTACGTACTATTTGGGAACTACTACTTCCGCCCAAAGGCAAAAGGTATGATCTGTTACATAACTTGCAGAGAGGCCTGTGGCTGCTTGAAAGGCACCTGATTGCAGCAAAGCCCCCATACCTGGAGATTGAGAGCAAGATGGCGGGTCTTGGTTTGCTCCAAGTCACTCTGAGAGTATTTCAAGCGCATTTGCAAGCCGTGGGCCTGGGACTGCACCTGGCGCAGCTCTGCCTCCTTCCGCTTCGCCTTCATTTGCTCCTGCAAGATGAGATTTAGGGAGGGAAAAAATTGTACATGCCTGAATGAGAACTTGCGGCCATATTGGAGAGGAACATCGCGCTGTCACAGTCAGAGAAAATCAACAGCTGATGAAAGCTCAACAATAAAAATGGGGAGTTGCAGAATATTCTTCCAGGGGAGAACACACAGAATGTTCCTGCTTGACCAGTTCCTTGACTCAGCCATCCTTTATGGCTCAATACCCTGAGGAGAAAGTGGCACCTCACCTTACTCAGCCCAGCTCTCATATTTTTCCAGCTCTCAATTCCAATCTCTGGCCGGAGTGGATTGAGTACTGCTAGAAACCCAATTCTTGGCTGTGTGTGCTTTATTCTGCATGTAATGACGTTGCTGCCAATTTCTTCAGCCTGATTGCCCTTCCTTTCAGTGCTACAAATCCGTATGACTCCTGAATGCTACGAAAAACCCCAAGGCACATTCCCCCAAAATTCGGCGGTGCCCTGGCACTACCAGTCAGCTGTTCTCCATTTGCGCACTCTGTGGCACAGAGATGGGCAGGCCTTGCCCTACAGTTCAAAAGAATTAATTTCCAACCTTGAGCTCCTCTGTCAACCGCTCTTTCTTCTCTTTTAGCTTGTCCACAGCCTTTTCATCCCAACGCCTGGCCTTGGCTTTCAAGTCGCTGGCCCCTCCTGAGATCACCCCTGACTTCTGGAAAAGGGTTCCATCCAGTGCAACAGTCTACAAGGGAACAAGGGGGAGAAGATGAGGTACGTCATGTCAAAGGAGAAGGAAGGACATCCTTGGCTGTCAGCGACAACAGCAGCCAGTAATGACCACAACAGTAATTCTTTGCAAGAAAGGAGCAACCTGTTATGGGCTAGAGTACCAGGGGGAGATCCTTTAGCCCTCCAGATGTTTAGGCCTACAACTCTCATCGGTCCCATCCATGACAACCAATGGTAAGAGTTTGCAACAACTGTAATCCAAAACGTCAGGAGGGCAACGAGTTTCCAAGCCCTGAGCTACAGCAAAGGTGGAGCAGAGGGCATCCTGCAGTTCTCCCTAAACACAGAATTCAACATCCTGTCCTGAACATCTCACCTTACTGACTTGTACTAGACATTGGGGAGGGGGGGAGAGAATAATTCAGTTCATGTTTTGATTTAAGACGATTGTGGGCTTAAGTTAATTTATACTTCTTGAATCAAGAGACATGCAAAAATGCAGTTGTTCTTCCACTGTTGCTCTTCCTTGAATGTTCAACTGCAGTTCTCCTGTCAAAATGTTCCTATCATAAAGTACACATTAGATAAGAATATATTAGTGTGAGTATATTATTGAAAAATATTTCATTACTTTAGTTAAAAACTGTTTGGAAGCTCTGCATGATAAACTAATTTGCATGCACATATGCATCTGTTAGAAGGACTTCACATTAAAATACACAACTTTTCCTGTGAAGTTTTAAAAAAAAATGTAAATCGATGTGAAAATTAGCAAAAAAAAAACCCCGCCATCTTGGTCCATACCCAAGAGGAGGAGCAGGGGCAGAGTAAGACCACCACTGGCAAGACACTGCAACTTCAACATCGTTACCTGCTTCCTTCATCCGCAATTAACAGAAACCACTTATATTAACAGAAGGTTAACATAACTTGTCTTTCTTTCTGGATACACACTTATGCAGGTCCCTACATTTAGATTTCCTTGGTGTTGAATTTTGAGTGGGATCATCCAAATTGTTTTGTGGGAGGCATGGCATCTACCACTATAGACAGCGAGGGAATACTTGGAAAGTTGAATGGCATGATTCTTCTGACCTTGTGACGCTGATGCCCACCAAAGGCAATGCGACGGGCATCTTCAACGTTGTCGCACACTAGGGCATTCCCACAGGCATACTGCAGGGCCTTCTTGATGTGAGGAGGCTCATAGCGGATCACATCAATCACTAGCTTAGCTCCTTTCAGCTCCCGGAGTTTTTCATCTGTGGGTTTCACCTGGGGATAGGAAAATATCATCAAAGTAAGAAAATCCGTTCTAAGGCAGCACTTTGGGGAGAACAATGGCACTTTGAAAAAACAATGGGGAAATTACCTTCCCCAGTGTAATGAGCACTACTCAGCGTAGGGGGTGCTTTGAGGGAGTATTGCAAGGAAATGTTTTCACATTTTAGGCCATATTAAAAGACTGTAATTATTAATGAGTAATGGCAACAGGTTACCTTTTAAAACTCTAATGCTTAACAACAGCAATTGTTAAAAAAAAACATTCCAAGCTCTGAAAGCAATATATGGGCAGTCTGGGCTAAGCAGAAAAACACAGTGGATCATGTTTATTAGCTTTGTGCTTATCAACCAGGGATGAGAACAAATATGATTGTCCAACTAAAGAAAGTCCTTTCTAGTCCTTTCCCCTCTCCTCCCCTTGCACGTGGAGACACCTGTCTTGAGTGATCTAGGCATAAGGGAAGGGGGAACTTGCGCAAAAAAAAAAAAAAAAAGCATGCTGATCCTCCCGGGCAGCAAATGTGTGGAATGCCCACATGCGGAGGTCTGGCTAATCTGAGAGGATGATGTGTGCAAGGGAATGGGCACCGCTAAAGCACAAGTGGGACAGCAAAAGCAAGAACCAACTTAGCAAACAAGGTTAGTGTAAGCCTATGGTTTCCTTGTTTTCCAAATAATCCCACTGCCTTACCTGAGAATAAACAGGATTATCCCACTTTATTCTCAGAAATTGCCCTGCAAAGCAAGCTTATGCTGAGCATCGTGGCCCTCCTATGGCCTTCTGCTGGGCTTCAGGCTGGAAGGATCCTAACCCTATTTCCCCCAGTCCAAGTCCATGACCCTGCCCTTCCCTCCTTGCCTTAGGCCTCACCTCAAGGTAGTCGAGCGGGAGGAAGGTCTCTGGCTCCCCACGTTGCTCCTTGATGTACTGGATGCAGTCCCGGCCGGTCTTCTCTGAGTCAACAATGATTGCGTCCATGTTCTTGCCCAGCACCTTGGTGACAGCTATCTGGTATTTCTTCTGCGTGGGCTGGCAGAGGTCAATTAGACGCCCATACTGCAGGGAGCAATGAAGAGAAGTGAAGTGGGGAGGGTCAGGTTCGCCTTCCCTCTGGCTGATCCCTCATGTGCAGTCAGCCCAAGGGGAATTTCTATCTTGCCTGAAAGTGTCACCTACCACAGAGCCTGGGTAGAGGCGCTTGATGCTTTCCATGATCTCCGCCTTGCGCTGCTGCCGACTGTTCTCCTGCCGGTCGATACGAGCATCTCCCAGCTGCTCCATCACCTGGTTCAGCTCTTTGTTGATCTCATCAATCCGGCGCTTGGCCAGCTCTACTTCCTCAGTCAACTCCCCCTCCAGCTTCTTTTGCTCTTCCAAGGACTGCCTGAAGAAGAAGCAATGAGAAGATGGCACAGAGACCCACAAAAAGGTTCCCTAGTCACTTGATGCATGAGTGTTTAGTTGCATTCCACAGAGATTGGGGAGGGCAAAATTGCCATTGGTGGCCCCTTTCCAGCCATCCAACACAAAGCCCAGCGCTTCCCTTCCACAGCTCTACTGCCCTTACTTGCTAGTGGCAATGTACTCTTCCAGCTTCTCTATGCGCTTCTGGTTCTCCTCAATCTCCCGCAATTTCTGCTTTATCTTGGCCTACAGAACAGAATGAGTAAGACACAAAAGAACAAGTGTTTTGTCGGGGATCAAAAATAAGTGGATTCCAGGGTCTACTTCGGGATTAAAGGTGCAGATTGGGTACAGAAAGATGTAAGATCTCAGGATGTTTCACAAACATAGGTAATCCTTATTTTCCTTGTTTACTTTTGATCCAGCTTCCTTCAGTGCATGTAGAGGCAATCAGCATCCCCACATATTTGGACAACAATGTCCATAATCCCCAACTGCTGGTTATGCTGGTTGTGGCTCATGACAGCTGTAGTGCAAAACATCTGGAGAATGCCAGGTTGCCTATCCCACTCCTATAAAGGAGCTTGATTCTGTCAGATCCACTATTCCATTCCTCATACAGTTCAGACAGTTTCTTAAACAGGTGCCTTTACAACCTAAAACCATTCATTTTCCTCCTTCCCTCAGCAGCCTCAGTGATTCCAGACTGGCCCTCTTTTTGTACCATTCCAACTTCTTTTGTCTGTTTTCCCTGAAAAGCGAAGCCTTTCCTTTACTCTCTTTCTGTACAGTCAGCTTCCCAAATGGCAGGCAGGCTGCATCTTATTCTAAAATGCAGGCTGCAATACTGGACACCATATTCTGCGGAGGCTTAGCTAGGTATGCCCAGCCTGTGCTTTTAATATGAGCCTTAATGACACTCCAGGCCTTTGCGGATGATTTAGTTATCATATTGGAAGAACCATTGGATTCAATAGAGGACCTGATGACAACGTTAAGAATTTTTGGTGACATGGCAGGAATGAGAATAAACCAAAAGAAGACTAAATTACTTACCAAAAACATGAGAGAACATGAAAGACAAGAGCTAATAGAGAAGACGAACTTTCATGAGGAGAAGAAAATTCGATATTTAGGAATACAAATTACAAAGAAGACAAGTACATTATTCAAAGATAACTACATGAAACTAATGAAGGAGATACAGAACAATTTGGAGAAATGGGACAAATTACAACTATCGTTGTTGGGAAGAATTGCAGCAATTAAAATGACTATTTTACCAAAAATCCTATTCTTATTTCAGTCAATCCCTATAATATTAAAACAGTCATTTTTCAAAGAATTTAATAAGATAATCATGAGATTTATATGGCAAGGTAAAAACTTCTTTTGTCTGTTTTCCCTGAAAAGCGAAGCCTTTCCTTTACTCTCTTTCTGTACAGTCAGCTTCCCAAATGGCAGGCAGGCTGCATCTTATTCTAAAATGCAGGCTGCAATACTGGACACCATATTCTGCGGAGGCTTAGCTAGGTATGCCCAGCCTGTGCTTTTAATATGAGCCTTAATGACAATGGCCTACATTTCTTTATGAACCTCGACATTCCACTATGTTAGGTAAAGTCTCGGATGGGCTCTCATCTCTTATTTCCCCATACGAACAATGTTTCATCTATATACTGTAGGTATATACAAACATGCACACATACAGAGACAGCAAGAGAGAGAGAGAGCTGTTTTTATTGCTCTGTGAAATTTTACTGGGAAGTATAGGGTTAGGGACTATCATAAAATATGCCGTGGGGACGAAGATGATTGAAGAGAAACAGAGGCCAGTACATGTTATTGTGAGAGGCATAATCTAGTTCCACAAGTCAAGAAGATACACAAGTGAGGGCTCCATGTAGTATTTTGTGGATGTACCAAAAAACGGGTAAAAATATCATACTGAGAATAAAATTCCTAAGCATTTCAGCTTTCATTCTTTTTTTAAAGTGCAGGTTTCTATCCCTCATTGTTGTTCAGCTGCACATGAAAGATCAGAAGCTAATAAAGCTTTGAATTGTTTTTAAACTTGACTTTTAATCTTATGTTTACTTACTTTTAAAAATATATATGTTTATACAGAGTTTTAAAATCTGTTGTTTTATCTGTTGTAAGTTGCCTTGGGTCCCCTATGGGGAGAAAGGACAGGAAATGCAAGTTCAGTCCCAGGAAAATGAATTTAAAGGAAAGTGCCTGGTACAGCGGGGGGGAAAAAGGTAAGAAAAGATGCTCAGAAATGTTCACCTCGGTTTCGACTTTCTTCCTCTCTTCCAGATCTAGCCGGTCCTGGTCTGCTTTCTGGTCACGGTTGAACTTCTCCAATTCCTGGGCCAGGGTAGCTGCTCTCTTGCTGGCCTCTTCTTTTAGCCGGTGATATTTTTTCACCTGCATGAGGCAGAGGAGAAAGGAAAGTACATCAGGGAAGGAAGAAAACTCAAGTTTGGTGTCACCAGATCTACTTGGTGAAGGCCACCAAGGTCCCCACACCCCAGTTCCCCACGGCTAAGAGACTGGAGGGGGGGGCAGGATAAAACCCCCACTTCTTAGGTTTGTACTTACTTTTCAACATTTATACACTGCCTGTCCTATACAATTTGCAGAGTCAGAAATTACAAATCCAGTCTGTGACATCTGAAACATAATGCACTGTGTATTCCTGAAGGCTTTCACAGCCGGAATCCGATGGTTGTTGTAGGTTTTTCGGGCTGTCTGGCTGTGTTCTTGAAGTTTCCCACAAACTGCACCAGAGCACAGACAGAGTTCTCACTCCTGTCCTCTGAAGATGCCAGCCACAGAGACTGGTGAAACGTTAGGAAGAAGAACGTCCAGAGCATGGCCAGACAGCCCGAAAAACCTACAACAACCATCATAATGTGCTGTGTCCACACAAACACATACAAATTTGTCTAGACCATTTGCTCGACCCCAGTGACCTTTTTTAAAATGTATATCCCTTTGCATACAAAGGAGCAATGGCTGCAGACCAAAAACAGGGCTTTCTAGGTGGTGGTGGACAAACTGTCAAACAGCTTCCAGAAGGAAGACTGCCTGGCTACTTTGTTGCCAACTGTTATGCAAGCTTTGAGAACCATTTTATTTCAGGCCGTCATTGTTTGAGTTACAGCCCTCGGTTTTTCTCAAAAGGGGCTGCTGTTGGAATAAAATAATAACATAAATAAATGTAGAATGAGTTACAAGTGTCACAAGTTAGAAAAAAAGTCTAATGATCCTAGCATTTTGATTTGCTTTCAATTGTACCTACACTTCATACACATCCATAATTTTAAATTGTGCAGAGCTCTGATATAAATGGAGAAAGATTACAAGTGTCCTGGAAGGGAATGATCTGAAAGAGCTATAGTGTTTGGCTGGCTCACAGGTAGCTGGCAATATCTGGAGTAGACCTGCCACCCCTAAACCCACTTCAGGCTACATCTCAGCCTACTGTCGAGATGCTAGGTTTGCTGTACTGGCAGCAAATTCAATAGCAAGCATATGATATGAGGGTTGCACATGATCTGCACGTTGCTTATCACTGAGCTGACTGCACTATGGACTGATTATGACTGTCACTTTGTACCATTCTGTCTCCCCTAAAGCACCATCGCCCTGGGGCCAGGACAGATGGGATGCCCACTCCATTTCAGCAGATCCCCACACCTTGATCGCACCTGATTTTCCTCCAAGGTGAGATCCCGGCCTTGGCTCTGGCTCTCCTCTTCCATGCGCTCCTCAAACTCCTGCCGGGCCTTCTCCACAGACAGCATCTCCTTCTCCAACTCATCCATGTCACCTTTGCGCTTCTTGTACTGCTTCTGGGCATTCTGCAGGGACTTCTTGGCAGCTTCCAGTTTTTTAATCTTATGGGATGTGTTTTCCTTGGCCTTGATATACTGGGGGCGCTTCTGGTTCAGCTCAGAATCCTTTTCCCTGGAGAAACATTAAAAAACCAGAACGCTTATTCTGAGGATGGTGGCAGTGGTGTGATCTCTGTGAGAACCCAGCAGACATTTCTATTCCAGATCACCGTGACATAAAACAAGGGTCGACAACAGGTGCTCTTCAAACCTGCCGGATTCTAACTCCCATCAGTTCTAACCATCACAACCATGCAGCCCCAAAACAGCTACATGTAAGTTTCTCACCTTAGGAGGTGTATCATACAGTCACGGTATCAGTAGGAACACTAGACTCTTCAAACCCAATTGATGAGCTGCTCTGAGGGTGCTAATCCAGTGGGAAAGATCCAAAGCCAGCCCCACCTGCATAGCTGCTGATCCCCACATCTGAATCATATCTGCACATTTCAGTTTCTGTATGATTTGTTGTGGAGGACTGTAAGGTCCAATACGCTTCCCCTTGCATCATCTTCCCCAAATGATATGCCTCAGACCAAGAATGGGGCAAATTCTTACCCTCAGCTCCACCACCACCACAGGCCAGGCTGCAGTTGAAAAATGGCTGCACAAGCCAACAGGAAAAGTCCCGGGCAGGCGCTTCCACTTTCTATTTTTAGGTAGGGCTTTGCAGAAATCCCCCCCCGGCACACACACACCAAGACCCTAAATGGGAAACTGCAATTCCTGGAGGCTTTGGTTAACAGGACTTTTAGGAACAGAAAAAAAGGGGGGGGTTCAGTGGGATTGCTCTGGGACAGGCTTGGGGGCCTTTGGGGACCTACATGTAACCTGTGGCCTGCATGCTGCCCCTCACAGCAACAAAACAGCAAGATATGACAGAAGAAAGGTTGATCATGAGTAGCCCACCTTTTTTCTATCTTCAGGGAAGCTTGCCTACTATACCCTCCTTCTCCATGAGGAAGTTTAATAATCTAGGACATAGATTGTTATGGAAACTTTGAGGCCAATCATCAGCTCTGCTCCATGCCTTCAAGTTCTAAACTGATCTTGCTTCAGCCATGTTTGTGTTTGGTTTTTGTACACAGCTTTTATAATACTTTGGGGGGCAAATGAGATTAGTTAAAGCCCTTTTCTGGATTAAACCTTGTTCCTGAACAAGACTCCCCACTAGCTACCATACATCTAGAGGCCCATTCAAATTAGCTCATAACCAAATTTTCTAAGAGTGCC